TCTAGGCCGAAACGTCAGCTTTCCTGCTCCTCTGATGCTGCTTGGCCTGCTGTGTTCATCCAGCTCTACACCTTGTTATCTCAGATTCTCCAGCATCTGCAGTTCCAACTATCTCTCAGGTAGAAAGGATTAGATTGGCAGAGGAGAGAGCTGTATACAACTGTAAGAAACTGTAGCGAAATATGGTTCTGGGGTTTTCTTTGTTTATTCCCTTTTAACACATGGTCCACAGGGAGGTGGTGGCGCAATTTTTATTATCACTGGACTTGTAAACTAGAGATCCAGGCTAATGTTATGGGACATGGGATCAAATCCTACCGTGGCAGATGATGAAATTTCAATCAATGAAAATCTGGAATTAAAAGCTAGCCTTGTGGTTGGTTGTTGTAAACCACTGGTTCATTAATGCCTTTTAAGGAAGAAAATCATTGAGTCCAGACAATAATGTGGTTGACTCTTAACTGTCCTTTGAAATGGCCCTGGCAACAAATCCCAGCCAGCTATGCCCACTGAATAAACAAAAAAAATGTAAAAATATTGTCAGAGTTGCTTTGTATAAAAATTGACTTCAGGTTTTTCATACTGATTATTTTATTTTGTCAAGGCTGCATCCCCATGTATTCATTCTGGTCGCTTCTGAGCTTCAGTAAGCTAAAACATAGGGTGTGTAAAGTGTGCAATTCTAGACTCAGTCATTCCAAACTTGGACTGTGTTTTGGAGAGAGTTTTTCAGCTTGTTCACAAGAAGGGTATCAATCAAAATTGAAATGTAAACTTTTCTAAAGATCCCTAAATTAATTTTTAAGTTTTACCATTAATGAAAGATGCTAAATATCACCTAGGATTGCATCATTTCCACTGAAGTTCAATTTGTTGATGTGTTTTTTATATTCCCAGTGTAATGTCCGGACTATATTGTGTCCTAATCTCCGTTTTAGGTCCGACAACAGTCTTCTACAGATGCCCGAGTGGAGCAGATGTTTAACATCCTTTTGGATCCCAGTGAGAAAGACTCTGACAAGAAACAAAAGGTCCCTGTTTTACTAAAAGTATTTCAATAGAGACCATAGTCTGTATGTGCTGCAGGTGAGAAGTATCTGGGTCAGGATAACTGTCTCAGGTTTGAGGTACAGCATAACACCGAATGTGTAATGTTTTTGTTCTGCATTCACCTTAAACTGTGGAGTAACAGCTAATAGTGTGATAGATTTTGTATTTCTATGTGTGGATTGTGTCTAGAAGGAAGCTGTGTAGTGTCAGTTAAATAATCAAGACTTAGTTTTTGGTCATGTTGACTGAAATTCCTGCTGGATGGTGAAAAGACTGGAATGATGCCATGGCGTCTTTTGAACTCCTTTAAGAAAGGAAACTGAACAACCTTATCTGAGAGACTGTTCCTCTGAAAGTGGAACACTCCTTCAGTATTGGGGTTATTTTAGTTTATGTGGTCAGGTTCTAGCATAAGATTTCACCTGACAACCTTCTAATTCTGAGATAACAGTGCTACCCACTGGGCATGGCTGGAATTTAAATTTAAATTTGTAACAGAGAATTCATATAGCTTCTTATTCCAATAAGTACCTGTTTTAAATATTTACTTTCCCCTTCAGGCTATTCAGAATCTGATTGTTCTTGCTCGGGAAGATGCAGGGGCTGAAAGGATTTTTCGCAGTGATGGAGTGCACCTTCTCCAGAAGATGTTGGACACTGGGAATGCAGACATCATGCTGGCTTCACTCCGGACTCTAGTTGGGTTGTGTTCAGGCCATCAATCCCGGGTTAGTCAGGCACAGAAAAATTAGGACTAAAGCAATCTCTCCACCATTCTTTTTGAATAATAATTTTCCATGATGATGAAGTCTTGCTGTACAGAGCATCTATAGGGCTGAAATGCTGGAAACTAGGTTGGTTGGCTTGGAGTCATGATGAGCTAAGTGACCTCTTTCAGTACAGTAAACTCACTATGTTTCTATGATATAAAACCATGCAGTGACCAGACACTCCAACTTGACACTGTCATTGCAAAATTGAAGTGGAAAATGTTGATACAGAAGAATGATTAAAAAAATTGTGCAAGTTTTATCTATATAGAACCAGGGCATACAGTGCTATGGGCCATGTGCTGGAAACTGGGATTAAAATAGTTGGGTGATTGATTTTGACTGGTGTGGACATGATGGGCTGAAGTGTTTTCTGTGCTGTAGATCTCTATGACTGTATGGTAGTGCCTTTTTAAAATTTAGTCTTTGGAGTATGGGTGTGACGAGCAAAGCCAGCATTCTTGTTTTGAGTTCTGAGGAAGGATCACCAGACCCGAAATGTTAACTTTGATTTTTCTTACAGAAGCTGACAGACCTGCTGAGATTTTCCAGAAACTTCTGTTTCTGTTTCTGATTTACAACGTCCACAGTTCTTCCGGTTTTTTTCTTTTCTTATTCCTAATTGCCCTTGAACTGAGTGGTTTGCTCAGCCATTGCAGAGGGCAGTTGAGAATCAACCACATGTCAGTGGCTGTGGAGTTTCATGTGGGCCAGATAAAGTAGGCAGGTGAGGATGGCGGATTTCCTTCCCTAACAAACATTGGCAAACTAAATAGGTTTTTATTGTAAATGTTTGTTTTCGTGGTCACCTTTACTGAGACTAGCTTTCAAAGCAGATTTTATTAATTGAATATAAATTCCTCAAGTGCCATGTTGGGATTTGAACTCATGTTCATAGACCATTTGGTCTGGGCCTCCGGATTGCTAATCCAGTGGCCATTATACCACCATCTCCATGGGGCCTTTGAGTAGTCAGATGTCCCAAGGTGTTTCATAGGTTTCAAACAAAATTTAATCACGGAAAGTAGAATCTCCAGGTAGGAAATGGGAGCATTGTGAAATATGTTTAGTATAATTTTGTATTTGTCTTTGCTCCCATTGCGAATTTTTATTCAGTGCTAAATATAATGTTTCTGTGGCAATTGACACTGGTCTGTCATCAGAAATATATCCAGTTTAAGCTGGATCTATTTATTTTGGTGTGGTAAAAGCTTGTATTATATAGTGCCTTTGTATTGTCTAAAAGCCTTTATTTAGCTGTGATCCCTGTTGGCAGGTGACAGTGATTTTGCACACAATAGGAATGGACAGGTTCTGTCGCGTGATGGGCAGTGACCAGGAGCAGGTTTCCCTGGCAGCTTGCAACGTCTTGCAAAGCACGTTTGATTCATTGAAAGGGGGAATAAAAAGTGACATTCGAGGAAAAGAGGAGGCAGTGGTTCTCGGTGAGTGACGTATCTCTCTGTGGAAATGATTTCCCATTCTTTACAATACAATGTTACTATCCTCTTTCCTGCAGTTAAGGTACTGTTTTTGTTTAGATAACTGGCATTGCCTTTTAGAAAGGCAGCCCACAAAAATGTTTTGGACTGGTGATACCATGTAGAGTATTGGCCATTAGATTGGGTGTAAAAGTTTGAACATTTCTTCAAAAGTTCTCTCAGATTATGAAGCATTAATTAGGCCTCATGTTCAATTATTAATTGATCTCCAGAACCCTTAAAGGAGTTGAAGATGATGATTCACCAGTTGTTGGCGATGTTGGTTCAACCACAGGTGTCTACGCATGGCCGAGACAATTCCATAAACCTCCTGATTAAGCACGTTCCACGGAAATCCTTACGCGATCCCAACAACGCCATGACCATTTGGGTAATTGACCAAGGTAAGATATAAAACTGAAGGAGCCAGCGCCTGCTTGGTTTTGGGTGTGTTAGACAGAAACTGCTTTTCCTTCTTCATATTCATTCTTTGATTGTGGACTTGCCTGGCAGGGCCATCACTTATTGCCCACGCTATGTTCCCCATGAGAACTGAATGTTTTGTTTGGCCAATTCAGGATCCAGCATCAACCCTGGTAAACTGAAAATTTTGCTAAACTTCTTTCAACAATAGAATATGACCAGGCTAGTTGCCCTGTCAGTCAGAGTGTGAAATGCAGGTCATGCTAAAAGTGACTGAAAGTGCTCTCGCTCAGACAACTAGATTGTTTCCAAACAGAGCATTGGCAAACTGAATAGGTTTTTATGACAATCCACTAGTTACATGGTCACAATCACTGATACTGGCTTATTACTTTAAATTTATTTAGTTAACTGATTTTAATTTTCTTAGCTGGTCAGATTTATTTGAACTCCTGGGCGTTCAAACTCTCAAAATGTTTGTTTCAGTCTTTAAATTACTGATTCAGAAACAGAGCCACTGTTCATGAGGCTAATGAGAAATAAAGATTAAACAGCTGTTGCTGTTAATTTGTGGATTGGCTGAGCTACAGACACTTACTGACATTGTTCTGATTTAGGATATAGTTATACGGTAACAATGTTAGGAGCTTTGCAGAAACATGCAACTTCACAAGATTCAAATAAATCAAAGCAGAGTGTATGAAATGAGTGCAAAAAAAATTAAATAAAAACAGGAAATACTCCTCAGGTCTAGCAGCATGTATGGAGAGAGAAACTGGTAACATTTCTGGTCAGTGACCATTAATCAGAGCAGAACTAGGCTACCTGGGTTTTGAGTCTGCTTATCTGATCCCACTGGCAGGTTGTGGAGACACCTGTCCTACTGCAAAAATAAAACAAAAATATGGGTCTGTTGTGGTGGAGGGTGGCATTCAGAAATAACTCTGTGTTCCCTGTATCTGGCTGTGGTGAGGTTGAATTTACAGAGTTAACCGTGAGGCATCATCTAATCTTCGTAGAGGAGCTGGGCTAGTCTGATGACTCATTTCTAATACTCATCAAAAACAGTAGAGTGGTGAGCACTGTGAAAAATTCTGTCACTGCTTACAACTTCACAATCTGCACTTCTCTTTCTGAGAGATTCTGGATGTAAATTATTCATTCACTGTAACATTGTTGCAATGTGCACATATTTCTATGTTTGGAATTCCTTCCTAGATGGACGAGAACAAAGTGGGTGGAGAGGATTTTGTGGATAGGGGTATTCCAATGAGCTTTGTGTTCACAGCAGCTGCTGTCTCATTCGAGAACGTAGCGATGTGGAGTTTTCAGCATAGAAGCCAGTCATTCAGGTCAACAGGACTCCTCCCATCCCTCTTTATCTCATCCTAGCACCATATATAACTGTCTTCTCTCTGCACCGATCAGGAATGAAGAAGATTTTAGAAGTGGCTGGCACGGTTTCAGAAATTCCCAACAGCCTCTCGGTAACGGACAGCGGTCGGATGAGTGTGTCAGTATTGCTGACCAAACTTTACGATGACCTCAAATGTGACGCCGAGCGAGAGGCCTTTAACAAACTCTGTGAGGACTATGTCAGGTAGGGAGCTGGTGTATGAATGACAAAGAATGTTCAGGTTGTCATACCTGATCTGTGCTGAGTTAGCTGATCTTAGTTGAAATTGCGATATGTGTACAACAGTTGTGCTTCTTGGCCCTGCACGGGGAAGAATCAGCCATTGTTTTGTTATGCAACCGGTGACATCTGAAAGAGAAATGTGCCTGAGGCTAAGGTTCTGGTGTCGCAGTTGAACACTCACCTCAGTGCTTGAACCTCCCTGTGACCTCACCCCTCCCTATCTCTGTAACCTCACCAGCCCAACAACCCTCCAAGCTCCGTCCACTTCTCTGACACTGTTTTCTTGAGCATCCCCAAGTTTAATCACTTCACAATTGGTGGCTGTGCTTTCTGCTATCTACACCCAATGCTCTGGAATTCCCTTCCTAAACAACTTTCACCTCTCTATTTCTATCAACTTTAAGCATTTCCTATCTTTAAAATCAAGTTTTTGGTTTCCTGTAATATCTCCTTATATGTTTCCACTGACTTGGATTAAAGCAGGGATTAAGGAATAATATAAATTCTAAAAAAGAACTCCAGCTGAAATTTGTTCTGCACAGGGACCGCTTTGAGTCTTCAGGGATGGATGGAAAGCTGCAGGCCATCCAGACTGTGTCCACCCTACTACAGGGGCCCTCAGACGTTGGCAACCGAGTGCTGGAGATGAGTGGGATCTTGGAGTGCATGATAGCATTGTGCAGCTCTGAGCGGGAGATTGACCAGCTGGTGGCTGTGGAAGCTCTTATTCATGCTGCAGGCAAATCGAAGCGGGCTTCGTTCATTACTGCAAACGGGGTGACACTTCTGAAGGACATCTACAAGAAGAATGAAAGCGATCAAATCAAAATTAGAGCTCTGGTGGTAGGTCACAACTGTTTCACTGGGTAAAAGTTGAAGATAGTGATTTACAGACTTTACAGAAGTCTTATGGGCAGCCAAGCATCTCATCTCATTTCAGGTCCACTCCCTGGAGCTGGGGGAGTCGAGATTAAAAATATATTTTTACCTTCATATCACACTGCCCTGCTTCCTACAGGCAGTAGTGATTTACCAGTCCCTTGAGTCTCTGCTGAGTTGGCTGATCTTTGCCAATTTGGTATGAAAGGTGTCTCAGTGCCTTGAATTAGGAATTGTTAAAGTCCCCACTGGTGATACTTGTTGGATACCAGATGCAGTCTATAGTACCTTTTGTACATTTTACTCCACTAAGTCAGTATCATCAGGAATGGTTAGAGAGGTTGGAAATAATATTTATTAAAAATGTTGAGGGACATTAAGGCATTGTCTGAGTCCTGAGACTTCTCCTTTGAGTCATAATCATCAGGTATTACAGCAAGGAAAGAGGCTGTTCAGCCTGTTTTTCAGTCTGCACTGGTCATCAAGCGTTTACCTATTGCCCGGCACTCGCCTGTACCCTTGTATGCTATAGACTTTCAAGTATGCATGTAAAAATTTCTTAAATGTTGCAATGGTTCTTGCCTCTACCACCACTTCAAGCAGTGAGTTCCAGATACCCACGAACTTCTGCATGAAAAGAATTACCATAAATCCCCTCTAAACCTCCTGCCCTATCTGAAATTAATGACCCCCCGCCCCAAGTTATTAATCCCTCCACTAAGGGGAAAAGTTCTTTTACCCTATCTGTGCCCCGCATAATTGTGTACACCACAATCAGGTTTCATCGCCCGGCCACCCCTCCGCCTTCTCTGCTCCAAAGAAAATTACCCTATCTTACCTAGACTCTCTTTGTAGCTGAAGCACTAGCTGGTGCAACATCTTGGTGAATCTCCTTTGCTCCCTCTCCAGTGGAATCCCATTCTTCTTCTAATGTGGTGACCAGAACTGCATGCAGTATTCCAAATGTGGCCTAACTAATGTCTTAAACTACTGTATCTTAGCCTCTGTACCTTTGTACTCAGTGCCTCCACTTGTGAAGGTAAGTATCTCCTATGCCCCATGAACCACCCAATCGACTTGTCCTGTTGCCTTCAAAGATCTATGGACAAACACACCAAGGTGCTTCGAATCCCCAGTAATTCCCAGGGTCCTACCATTCAGTATGTACTCCCTTTGCCATGTTACTTCTTCCAAAATGCATCACCTCATACTTTTCAGAATTAAATTCCATCTGTCACTGTTCTGCTCATCTAAACACCCGGTCTATATCATCCTGTATTCTAAGGCTTCCCTTCTTTCAATCAATGAATCCCTACAGTGTGGAAACAGGCCCTTCGGCCCAACAAATCCACACTGACCCTCAGACATCCCACCAAGACCCATTCCCCCTTTAATCCGTCTAATCTACACATCCCTGAACGCTATGGGCAATTTAGCAAGGCCAATACACCTAGCCTGCTCATCTTTGGACCATGGGAGGAAACCGGAGCACCCGGAGGAAACCCACACAGACACTGGGAGAATGTGCAAACTCCATACAGACAGTTGCCCGAGGGTGGAATCGAACCTGGGTCCCTGGCGCTGCGAGGCAGCAGTGCTAACCACTGAGTCACGTGCCACCCTACTCTTGCTTTTTAGCATGCCAACAATTTTTGTGTGACCTGTGAACTTACTGATCATACCTATGTCTAGATCATGAATGTGCAATACAAATGGCAAGGGACAGCATTGAACCCTGTGGAAAGTTACTGGATACAGGCTTCCAGTCACAGAAGCAACCTTTGACCATCACTCTCTGCCTCCTGCCATGAAGCCAATTCTGTATCCAATTTGCCATTTTGCTCCAGCCCCATCCCGTGGATTTTTACCTTCTTGACCAGTGTCCCATGCAAGACCTTGTCAAAAGCTTCACTGAAGTCTGCAGACTACGTCAACTGTAGTCCCCTCACCTATACACCTAGTCATCACCTCAAAAATTCAATTGCTTGTTAGACATGATCTCGCCTTGAGAAAGCCATCCTTGATTAATCCTTGTCTTTGCAAGTGGAGATTAATTCTGTCCATGGTATTTTTTCCCAATAATTTCCCAACCATTGATGTTAGACTCACTGGCCCACGACTCCCTCGTTTAGCCCTGCCACCCTTGAATAATGGCACCACATTAGCTGTTCTCTGTGGCTTCTCCTGTGGCCACAGAGAAATTGGAAATTAAGGATTGGGCTCTCCACTTTCCTCCCTGGCTTTCCCTAGTAGCCTGGGATATATCTCATCTGGCCTGGGGAATTGTCCAATTTTAAGCCTGCTGAAATCACTATTACTATTACTCCCGTAATGCTAATTTGTCCAAGTTTATCACAGTTGTCCCTATAAGATTTCTGTATCTGTGTTGTCTTTAGATTGAATACAAATGCCAAGTGCTCATTCAAAACTTCACTACATCTTCCGGTTCCGCACACACTCTGCCACTTTTATCCCAAAGACCGCTACTCTTTCCATGGTTATCCTCTTGCCCCTGATATACTTGTTAAACACATTTGGATTTTCCTTTATTTTTGTTTCAAGCCATCTGATTATTAAAGGAACTGTTATAAATTTTATTGTGTTTTCTTACACAGAACATTTTGTTCTAACTCCACCTCTCGCATAAACTGTACAAACTTACTGCCGTAATTTTCAGTTTTGTAGGTCAAGCCAATGTCATGTAATCACATACCTTAATCTGTTTCCTGTTTCAGGGTCTGTGCAAGGTAGGATCTGCTGGTGGAACGGACTACAGCATGAAGCAGTTTGCTGAAGGTTCGACGTGCAAACTGGCAAAGCAGTGTCGCAGGTGAGCTGGGTTCTGATGCTGTGAAAGAAGAATCACAATTATTCAATTGGTCTGATTTTTTATTAAATATTATTCATGCTTATTGAGAAATGGGAATACTTGGGAATAGAACTTAATATTATTCATGCTTATTGAGAAATGGGAATACTTGGGAATAGAACTTCCTACTTCAGAATGCTCCCTCTGCTCTGTGAACGGTGTTCTTCAGAAAAGTGTCTCTACATCAGTGTAGCGTTTTTATAGTTCCTATACCATCTGCAGTGTCATTCTTCTTAGTGAGATTTCTAATGAAGGGAGTTTTTTATTATATTTGCATAACTGTCAGGAATTGGATTTGTGGAACTACTCGTCCACATGTATGAATAGCTATGATCTTTTGATGCTTTTTTGTAGTTGTGCATTTGTTTCATTGGGTTACATCCTCACAATAGTTTGATTTCAGATATTTTCTGATCAGCCTGTTCAGAGATGTTATTACACACCTCAGGAGCAGGTGGGACTTGAACCTGGGCCTCCTGGCTCAAAGATGGAAGGGATGCTACTACTGTACCACAGGAGCCCTAACATTTTGATTTCGGAAAGATTACACACTACTACACACAGCTACAGGACAGAATGGCTGCATTTGGACCCAGCTGGTGCATGCCAGAGCATCCTCTAACCCTCATTCATCTCACCCTATCAGTACATCCTTCCATTCCTTTCCCACATGTTTGTCCACCATTCCTCTTAAATGCATCTATACTGTTCACCTCAGCTACTCCTCGTAGGAACGAGTTCAAAATCCAGACTGTGGATAAAGGTGTTTTCCTGAAATTCCATTTGGATTTATGTCCCCTGCTCACGTCTTCCCAACGAGTAGAGGCACCTTTTCTACGGCTACACTATTGGAATGCTGAATAATTTAAGAACACAAACAGGTTGCTGGAAAAGCTCAGCAGGTCTGGCAGCATCTGTGAAGAAAAGTCAGAATTA